AATTAAACTTTCATCGATTGCTAATGTACGATAGATCGCGTCGGCAAACGAATCTACGAGAATGGACGTTCACTGTTCCGCTGCTTCCTGTTCTCCTCTTATTTCGCGCGCGTTCCCCACGGCTAAATACCCATTGAAAGTGTCGCCTGGCTTCGAGGATATATATTTTGTTGTTGTCGAAGATTCTGCAGCGAAACGCTTTCAGGCCCGAGGTGAAAAAAGGTTTTCACGGTTCGCGAAAATTGGGAGCCTTGAAAAACCGCGGCATCGAAAAATGAATGGCCGCTATATAAAATGCAAATGCGACTTTCGCAAAACTGTGGAAGCCTCTTTTCGCGAAAAAGGTCATTAGAAAAAAAGACAGAGAGAGAGAGAGGGAAAGAGAAAAGGGAAAACGGGCACCGCAGATGTTGCCTGAAAAAGTTCTGAAAGCGCCGCGACCTACATGACGCATCGCCCTGGAACTTTGATATTCCCCAGACAATTTACGTTATTCTAGCCGCAGGTTACGCGAGACTAATGTCAATCCGACGAGGACACGCTGCCGTTGGGGCGTTGCGATGACAAGTATAAATAGACTGCACGAGATTATAAATCTTGCACGCTGCGAACTTAAAAGACAAATTTTCTTTTCTTCGACAATGCTCTACACGAATGAAATATAAAACATAAATTAAAACGAATCGATTCTTCCCGGTTGTTGTATTCCCGGTAAAATATCGACTATATTTATTAACTTGTGACAGGCATGATACGTACAGGTGCCGCATACGAATCAGCGTCCAGATCGAATCATTTATCGTGGCCGATAAAAATTCTTCGAACGAGGTAAATCGTATCAAACGTGTCTTAGAAAAAAAAAGATATTTCCAACGTAATTGGCGGTGTTGATAGACCATTGATTGTAAATTAGCTTGAATCTAGGCGCTGTTTCAAATTCGTCCGTTGTTTCCCGATTAGGTGCACGCCTAAATTCGAAGAATCGGATTCTTTAGTAACACAGATTGCTTTCACTCGAAGAAATTGTAATCCTCCCGCGATTGGGGGAGAAATGAAATGTAGCGACGTTGGTAGAATGTACAATTGTAGTATATAGAATTCCGAGTACGGGAGAAGAGATGGAGGAAGAATGGTGCTAATAAGGTGCTTGTGAAAAGTTCGAAGAAGACCGAAGGACGCAACGCAACGCGCTTCGACCTCGATCGCTGGCGTTCAGAATTTTGGCTCCAAACTTCCGGTTTATCGATCGCCGCGTCACGGGTCTCTATTTATGGACCGACCGTTTCAAGCGACAACACGAATTTACTCGAGGACTCCATTTGCAGGCGTGCGAGATATTTCCTAGTTAAAACGCGACCGATCGATGTATAATACGAGCGAGACAAGAAATTCGGACCATTCGCGTTCACATCGACTTCACCCTTTGCACTCGAAGCCATTTTAACTATAAGCCTAAAATAATTTTTCTGACTTATTATAGTATTTCCATTTTATATGACAAAGTGCATTTGATGCGTTTGAAATTGAATTTTGTGATTCATACAACAGGTTACACTTTTAACAATTTTTGAAATCTAAGCTTTGTAATAATAATATAAAAATGATTTTGGAACCGTGGAATAACAATTTTAGTGGTACCTCGAAGTCGCCACTCGAGTGCAAAGGGTTAAATTTTGCTCTACCGCCTCTCCGAGACAGAGATGGAATAAAACGCCGTCTACGCTCTTTGATTTTTAACCTGTTAAGGAAATCTTGCTGATTTTCAGTTATTCCATACGCCTCTCTTTCGTGCCATTTTCAAAGATATTGTGAAACACTTTTGCCGGTTAACTAATTCTGATTAAACTAATTCTGTTAAGTGAACTCAATATTTACTATGCAAATATATCAACGAGACATTCGGCTACGTAAGTAGAGTATGACATCCCATTTCGGGCAACCGGCTAAGTAAAATATCCGCATTAATATGGTCAGATATTCTACAATGTATATTACAAATGAACTGTTTCGCGAACATTCATAAATGCAGACTTTGTACCAACATTTCCAAACGTGTAACGAATCGATCGACATTGAATATCTGTGCAAATTACATTCCCCTAGGCAGATATGAGCCGTTTATTTTGCAAGTGGCATAAGTCACTTTACCGTAATGAAATGTGGTGATTTTTTAATGTTTATACGAAATTATTTATACTGAGAAAAATATCAGTATCCTGAGATAACAAATACAAGTAAATCTTCTCGAAACTCAGCATCTATATATTTAAACGTGTTAAAACGCAAACCCTTAAATATATCGACTTAAAAATAAAGTGATTTTTATGCCATTTTCAAAATAAACGGCTCAATTGTCAGCATTTCTACATTTCTTATTCACGAAATGTCGATAATAACATACGTCGGTAGAACGAGAGTCGACGTAAACATTTGTCAGTGACTTATCCCACTTTCAAAATAAACGGCTCATATTTAATTTTAAATTTAAGTGATTTCAGCAGAGTAACCGAAAGCATGATCTTCAGAACTTTGGATAAAATTGATAATTTTTCAGAGCCGATGCAAGAACCGCGGACCTCGGAAACGAAGCGATACGACGGGAACTCCCGCGTTTTGAAATTAATTTGAACGCGGACAAAAACTCTCCGGGCTTGTCCGCGATTGCTTCGGCAAACAAATCAGCGGAACGACCGACGGAAATCACCGATAATTACAAGCTATCAAATCGTTCCGGCGTGCAAACACGGCAAGGAGGAAGCGACTTTAACCGGATGATTCTCCCCCAAGGATACGAATGAAAACGCGTAAGCATTTGCATCCGAAAAGAAGCCGCCATTCTCCCGGGGTGTATTTCAATTAATTTCAACGCGGTTTTTAAGTCCGCGGTTCTTGTTGCCGGCAATAGAGGATATTGCCTTTTCCCTCGGAGCCGGCCTAATAAAATCACAAAAGATTAATCGGCCGCCCGGAAACAGAAAATGTTTCACAATATCCGTCTAACGGAGTAATTGGCAAAAAATTCCGGGGACTCGTTTTATGTATATATATATCCGATAAAATATATACAAGGTGTCCCAAAAATGTCTCGCAAACCGGAAATGAGAAGTTCCTGGGATCATTTGAAGTAACTTTTTCCTTAGCGGAAATGCAACCCGTGGCTTCGTTTACGAATTATTAACGAAAAACACTGACCAATGAGAGGCGAGCTCGCCCAGCGCTAGGCGGCCGAGCCAATCGGCGGAGCTAATTGGCCGCCTCGCGCCAGCTGAGCTGGGATTCGACCGCTCGACCGCTGGCGCCGTTGGCTCACGCGAGCTTAGCTGGCGCGAGGCGACCGAGCCAACGAGCAGTCGAAGCCCAGTTCCGCTCATTGGCTCGGCCGCCTTGCGCCAGCATATCTCGCCTCTCATTGGTCACTCTTTTTCGTTAATAACTCGTAAACAAAGCCTTGAATTGCATTTTCGCCAAGGACAAACTTACTTCAAATTACCTCGGGAACCTCCTATTCTCGGATTGCGACTCATTTTTGGGACACCCTGTATATTATACGCATATATACGCATATGTGATTTTATCGGATAGAAACAATTACATTCACTTGTTGTTCAAATTGACATCATAATGACGTTCGTGTAATTGTTTTCGATAAAATCAATATCGACGATGGAGATGAATTATTCATATTTCTATATGTAATAACCGATCACATCTACCTGCTAACATGACCTGTTTAACATATGGGATGTTGGTACAAATCGGAGCGGTCTGATTTTAGGTGAGAACGATCAAGGATGAGATATTCATTGCACAAATGAATCACGCGCCCAGCGAGAAAGATAATTTTATGCATTTTTCAGGTTCGCGGCCGTGCAAAAATTCATGACGAATCTGCAGAATGCTAATAATTCATGTCTCGATATTCCATCTACTAAATAATTTCTCGGCAATAGGCCGGATTATTTCGACCTACGTTGTCATGATTTCTTGATAGGATGCAGAATTATTCTACGCAATTAATGGTTCTGTACGTTTAATCTAAAAAGATCGAACAGCGGCAAATCAAAATGCTATTTTAATAATGAAATTCAATCGCATATATATATTTACACCAAACGCGACTATCTGGATCATCACAATATTTTAGATATTCAGTAATGTCTCCCTTACTGACGCTCAGGTTGTGTACAGAAATGGACAATTTGGGAAGAGGAGATACGATTATTCGAAGCTTGCGACTCATTTTTATAGTTGTTGACAATCGAGAACCATAAAAAACGAGCAACAAGGCTCGCACAGTCGTATCTTCTCTTCCAAAATTGTCCATTTTTGTGGACAATCTGAGCGTCAATTAGAGAGACATTACTGTTTATGCTTTCCAACGAATGACAATCGTCGAATTTAATGCAGAGCTAGATCTAAAGTCTAATCAAAAGGAGACCAATATAATGAAGATAATATTCGCGTAAAATCTCGCACGTTTATTTTTAGAAACTGCACAACAATGTAATGTTCTTAAGCTTAGTATACAAAATGTTATAATAATTGACATGACGATACAAAAGAAAGTAAAAATGTATTTCCAGTATACAATGAGTTTGACTCCACAAGCCTAACAAGCTATCCGAGTCACGTTGACCCGAAACACCATTGATCTTTTCAGAGTGAACGTATAGGGCTCCATACAAGTATGGCCTAGACAAGCTAAGGCTAAGACTACATAGCTATCAGAAAACTTCCGATATCGAATAGCAATCGAATGACGGATGTAAGCACTCTGTCACAGAGAAGAAGACTCCGGTAATCCAGGAGCGATCGATAACTCGCGCGGAGGTCGACTAACGGGCGTAATGATGTTTCAGTGAGTTCGGTCCATAAATATGTCGGCCGGAGACAGCGGAAGTCTACTGGCATCGGGCCGATCTCGCGATCGATTCTCTGCCAGCAGGCCGATCAACACGGAAGGTAGGAAGCCAAGTGCAGGGTGCGGGGATCACACTTACAAGACTTACGATCGGCGTGTCTGGTCCTCTTGCGCTCCCTGGGCGTCGTCCTCGTCGCCGGCGTCTTCGTCGCGGTCTTCACCAACGATTCAAGCAGCTCGTCGTCGCCATCCGTTAGGTTTCCATTGGTGTTCTCGTCCCGGAGCAGCGGGCCCAATGATGTGCGTCCTGGAACATGAATTTTAAAAGGGATAGAAAAGGTGATTATGATAATCCCGGCATGTGTTTGCCGTAGGAATGATCCCGCCAATGCTGCCAACGGCGCAATGAAAGTAGTTAGATTGCAGATTTTATGCATCCGCGACAGATGTAGCTACGTGTAATTTAACACTAGAGCCTTAATCGCGACGAGCGCACATCGTCTCGTGACGACCACGAGATTCAATTTATTCAAACGTTGCACGATTTCTGTTTAAAATGCATGCTCTAATAAAGAAGTTTATCAGCAAATTTTGAGCCTTAACCGCGACGAGCGCACATCGTCTCGTAACGACGACGAGGTTCAATCTATTCAAACGTTGCACGATTTCTGTTTAAAATGCATGCTTTAATAAAGAAGTTTATCAACAAATTTCTTGTAGAATGATCTTTATAATTCCAACAATTGTAAATGAAAATGTCAGAAACCAGGCCTTTCCACTGATTTTATAGTTCTAGCATTGATACGGAACATATCGTCTCACATTTGTTATAATTAGAAAGATACTTTCACAGGAACTAATTGATCAAATTTCTCACTTTAATAAAGAAGTTTATCAACAAATTTCGAACCTTAATCGCGACGAGCGCACATCGTCTCGTAACGACGACGAGGTTCAATCTATTCAAACGTTGCACGATTTCTGTTTAAAATGCATGCTTTAATAAAGAAGTTTATCAACAAATTTCTCGTGGAATGACTTTTATAATTCCAACAACTGTAAAAGAAAATGTCATAAACCAGGCCTTTCCACTGATTTTATAGTTCTAGCGTTGATACGGAACATATCGTCTCACATTTGTTGTAATTAGAAAGATACTTTCACAGGAACTAATTGATCAAATTTCTCACATTAAGCCTACATTATTGTATGTTACTCGCTTTTAGTGCTCGACAGGCTTAGTGTTGAAACAGTGAAAAGATTAAAAAAATACCGATGTATTTATATATATATATATATATATCTTATTGAAATCGCCGAAGAAAGGTCAGAGGTTCTCTGTTGCTTCTGTGTCATAAAATCGATGGAGCCAGGTTTTATTTTCCATAGAGACCCGCTGTCTAATAATTACATAAAAGTATTCAGAAATTTGATGATAAGATAGAAAGATTTTCGTTGTAGACCGCAGATCTTCTTCATCGTTCGCTACTTCACGGTAAGTACAGCTGTTTCCCAAAGTTGGGGCGACTCTGCTTAAAAAGAAGGATAACAATTTTCTTCGACCGTTTCATTCGCTGCTTTCTATCGGGTACTACTTCGCAAGTTTTTGAAGGTCTTCGGTAAATAACATTTCCACGATTCCCCATCTCCGTGGACGGTCGGGGGGGAATACAGGGAAATTCGTGGAAGATGAAAGCGCATTAAACGGTGCAGCAGAGTATCCGTTTTATCCGGAACAATTCCCAAGATACATGTTCAGTCCCGGCTCGGAACTCGGAAGAGGCTTGGCGTGGATCACGGATCACGGATCGCGGATCACGGATCACGGTTGCGGGGGCGTGCGGGGTGTGGGGGGCATTCTTCTTTCGTAGCAGCTCCCGGGCTAACGTTTCACGGAACAGTCTTTCCCGGTGGCCGGTCCGCGGGGTAGAAACTTCGGAACCGTCAAAAGCACGGGGAGTTCTTTGAGAGCTTCTTTGAAACTCGTCTGAAAGAAGCCTCCATCGGCGGTCTCGCTGGCTGTGTAAATCCGATACGAGCGTGTTCTGGAAGGGCCGCACGAAGAAGCGGTTTCAGGGTGTGAGGGTGGACGCGAGAGACCGAGGCCGATACCGAGAGGCCGAGGCCGAGGCCGGGCGGAATTTCCATGGCCGAGGGAAAAGAAGGAGCGAAGTTTCTCGATGCGGTCAACCTAGTTAGCCTTGAATGTGCTCGAGTACCGAGCTTTTCGGTCTGGTATTCGCTGCATGGGAACCGCTCGGTACGTTAAATGACACCAATTTTATTTCCAGCCCGGGCTGTGCGACTCTCCTCGAACGGCTTGATGTTCGACGCGTTTGAAATACCAAGCGATCGCATGAATGTGGAAATTGAGTTCGCGTATTCATGGAAGTCTGCCCGTCACCTTGACGAGATTTCCGATTTCATCGATTCAACGCCGGGAGAAGGGCGTTCGCTTCGCTCTATAGCAACCTATCTCGCGGTGTCCGCAAAAATACAAGCCATCCATCTGTGGTAAATAAGCGACATTCTGTTTGATTGGAACGTGTCGCGTTAGATACCTTTTTGTAGCAGTTTTATCAAGGTTTCTTGGATTCCGTGGTTGCCAGGAATACCTGGACTTTATATGCCGTGAAAATAACCGAGAGACTGATGTATTTCAGTGCAAAGTGGAGCCGAAATAAAAAAAAGAAAAGCAGCCATGAACAGGCGAAATAAAACGAAATCGTCTCAGACTAGAACAATTAGTCTATAAATTCCAGCTACCATTTTTGCTTATTTATAGCGGGATATTTATTATAAGTTTAGACCGCCAATCACTCTTCTATCTTTTGCTACATCTCTCATTCTCTCTCAGTCTCTCTCTCTCTCTCTCTCTCTCTCTCTCTCTCCCTCTCTGTAATTACTGTTTACAATTACACAATAATATCTCGTGTACGATGGTTTGGGAAGCCAAATTTGGCGCATGTTGCCTGCAAACAATGGAGGTTTTGACATGCAAGCTCGAATGTTTGAACAATACCGAATTCAGTTGCGCTTCGCGTCCCTGTATCTTATATTTCTCACAGTGATGTTTATTATAAATAACTCGATATAAAAATCCGCAGCACGGTCGTAACGAATGTTAGTCGACTGTCCATAACAATATGCGTAGGTGAACACGGTGTTTCGTGTTCGAAACAACGAACGAGCTCGCGAAATCCTTGAATTTCGACAAGAACAACTCGATTACTCTATTCGGCCAAATTCAGTTACACGCGGGACAATTTCTTTTATAAATATCGACAGCTTCAAGAAAATTTCGAAAATCAATAGACACGAAGATGTCGACGAGTTCAAGGTTGAAACTGCATTTATCATCGGAAGACTAGGTTCCACGAAACGATTACACGAGCCCCGTTATTTCGGGTATTTCCATCGCGACGATCTTCTTAGAGAAGGCCGAAAATCCACCGCGAAATCCCCGGTTCCCCGGCGGAAGCTTTTAAAAATACGGCACTCCCATCCGCCGAGCACGGACCGAAATAAAAAGGTCGCCGGGTCACGTCCTCGCGAATTAAAATCCCGCCACTTTATTCCCGACCTATCTCCGGTAATATTTGCCGAACCGGCGCGGCGACCGTTTCATTAAAACGTTCTAAATCCTTCGGACTGATCCGGGGACGAGCTGCGCGGCCAGCGACGGCGATGACGACGACGACGGCGGCGGCGGCGACGGCGCGCTGGAAAACCAGTCGTCGAGACCGTCCGACGTTTTACTCGGTGGCAATCTCGGCGCGGATACGAAACCGTCCGCGGGAGGCCACGGATATGAATGCAATAAAGGCCAGGAGGAATCCCGGGTCGTGCGGAATCCGCCGCGACAAATCGTGATCCCCGCGACACCGGGATGCGTGCCGGAATCCGCGCGGAATCGTTCCCAGGTGTGCCGGAAGCCGGGGAAGAGGATTGGTGTGGTCCTCTTGCTTCCACGCGGGCGACTTAGGCGGACCGTTTAGGTATTTTATAGGGGAGCATACACAGGAATAAAAGGGGAAGAAAAGTTACGATGGCTGCAGCTACACGGTAATGCGCGAGGCCCAGCGCAAGTTTACGAGCCGTAAAGAGGGGATGGCGCGAGGCGATTTTGACCTCCGACATTTTCCTAGACCGGGGTCAAATTGAACAATTTGAATTTTTTTTATCATCATTCGTGGATTCAACCAATTTCTATACAGTAAGGTCTCTCTAATTGACGCCCAGATTGACCACAGAAATGGACAACTTGGGAAGAGGAGACACGATTGTTCGAGCCTTGCGGTTTATTTTTATAGTTATAAATTGTCCACAATTGTAAAAACGAGCCGCAGCGCTCGAACAATCGTATCTCCTCCTCCCAAATTATCCATTTTAGTGGACAATCTGAGCGTCAGTAAGGGAGACATTACTGTATTTAGATCGGCAAGCGCAGTGTAACCAATATTAGAACGAATTGAAAGGATCTTTCCAATTTCAGCAACTTTCGAACAAAAACTGCCTTTTGTCATTTCAAGAAAACTGTCGTTTCGACCAGCTCGATAAGAACGAAGAAGCGTTGATCAACGACGCAGCTGCGAAAGAAGTCGTAATGCAAGGGATCAGTGATTTGTTAGAATGTTTTACAAGTTCGACAATCGCAGCGTTAGATTTCGAATCATTCGCAAGGCGACGTTGCACGGTCACCTCTGACCCCAGAAATCTGTCTGTTCGAGTCGGAAAGGATAAAAATTCCGTCGCCAGCCCGGGGCCACTATTCGCGACCATAATCCCAGGCGATCTCGCGTGACCTCCGCGCTATCAGTTTCCTACATTGTCCGACGTTTTCCAGCGATCATCGCCCGGCGCCCGCTGATGGCTAATTCCGACGATGAAATGTCAGAAGTTATGGCAGAGCGTGCCACGATAACGTCGGAACGGTGTCTTGCCGGCTGCCGGGATAGGTCCGCGGAGATTGCTCTCTCATTCTCTCTCATTCTCTCTCAGTCTCTCTCCCTCTCTCTCTCTCTCTCTCTCTCTCTCGCTGCCCGCCTCTTCCTCGTTCTCCCTTCCGGTGTAACGAATGCGAACAATGTTTTTTGATTCGTCCGCGACACTCGCGATTTCGCTGTTTCTAAGGTCGTTTAATAATTCTCGCGCCGAGGCTGGGTTTTGCGAGGCTCGTGATTCTCCGGCTTAATGGAAGTATGCGGGAACATTAGCTTCCTGGGATAATGCACCGGGTGGCCGTTTCTTGCCGGGAATTGGAAGCGGCTTGCTTAACGCGACATTATTATTTGTTTTGGTAACCGGCTTCCTAGGCGCAGCGTTCCGTTAAATACGACGCGCTCTTCGCGCTCGAAGGAATTCTGAATCTATTGTTTCGGTGCTGGGAAAGCTCGCGGCTCGGTTGCATTTTAATACGAATGTTTGTGGGTCACTGTTTACGCACCATCGGAGAAACAATTCATTATAAAGTAAAACATAAATGATTGCTTCGTTGCGATTGGACGTTCGATGGGTTTTTATTGCGAAAATGAATATTTGTCGAATCAAATTCCTGTACGAACTGTACGAAGCACCGAGGTTACAGTTTGCTTTAAATTGCAAATTAAATGAATTTTTCATTTAAATTGAAATTATGAATTTCCTTCCTGAATAAATATAAAATACATATACGGTGATTTGTCCGGTGAATGAACGTTTCCTGTGTCATATGAAAATGTAACGTTTAAGCGTTTCCATATTCCAATTTATACGGAAGTTCTATTATACACCTACAGACGCCTTGCATTTTGTAAAAGTTTATCGATATATCCCAGCATTTATCCGAATCTTATGTTACATTAAAAAAAAATAAATCTATAACGATCAAAAAATGCTAGAATTCTATTTAGAAATGTATGAGCTTGAAGGCAAACGAATCTCGCTTACGATTATTTCGACAAACACGCAGCTCAAATGTTCGTTCACTGGAAAGGTCACCTTAGAAAGAGAAATTTCCTCGTCGATGGGCAGAAGTCGATTTGCATGACACGTGCAATTAGGAAAAGGAGCAAGTAAGCATTTCGTTTTCGTATTCGCAGTTGTTTGTCTGCTGTCTACGAAGACTCGGGCGACCAGCTGTAGCACCGAAAGCAGGTCACCCGATCGAAGAGCACGGCGTACACCAATAAACGATAAAGTCCGCAACATCTTGAAGAATCAAATTATATAAGGCCGAGCCACGAACCGAAGAAACATCTCCGGGAGCATTCGGCCGAAACGAGCCGCGGCGTAAGAGAGCCGGGAGAAGGGGAACCACCCCGCGGTAAACTCTGACCCCGCGTTTTTGCGGTGGAACGGGGTCACCGATGTCCCCCGAAATCTCGATGTCGTTACTTTTCATTTTCCGGTAACCCCGTCGAATGAGTCCCCGCTATCCCCAGTATCTCTTGGCTCTCGAGAACGTTTGCTTAAGGAGGGCATTTATCTCGCGCCGCCACCGGCTAGAACATTACCGGAACGAGGAGAAATTTTCGCACTTTGTTCTTATCTTCGAGAGGCGGGGGCTTCCAGGCTCAAGGCTCGCTCTCTTCCCGACCCGAGAAGTTCCCGATTCTAAAAAACCCTTTGCTCGCGGTGTATCCGAGGGACGCGGTCGGCGTGTGCAACATTCGCGGCGAAGATTTTCGTTTTTGCGAGAATGGATGTACGCATATTCGAATGAAATCCTGTCGAGTCACTCGAAAATATCATTTGTAATGTGAATAAGAGTTTAATATGCAATAAGAGTGTATTTAGAAACAATATCGTACGTATGTAATCTTGTTTCGCTTATTCAACTATCTATCCGAAATTATCATTCGACGTATGGGTTCTACATTTCGCAATAATATGATCAAAGAGTAATAAAACAGGATGTCCCAAAAATGTCTCGCAATCCGCGAATGGGGGATTCCTGAGGTCATTTAAAGTAACTTTCTCCTTAGCGAAAATGCAATCCGCCGTTTTGTTTACGAGTTATTAACGAAAAACAGTGACCAATGAGAGGCGAGATCAGCTGGCGCGGGACGGCCGAGCCAATGAGCGGAACTGGGCTTCGACTGCTCGTTGGCTCCGTCGCCTCGCGCCAGCTAAGCTCGCGTGAGCCAACGGCGCCAGCGGTCGAGCGGTCGAATCCCAGCTCAGCTGGCGCGAGGCGGCCAATTAGCTCCGCCGATTGGCTCGGCCGCCTAGCGCTGGGCGAGCTCGCCTCTCATTGGTCAGTGTTTTTCGTTAATAATTCGTAAACGAAGCCACGGGTTGCATTTCCGCTAAGGAAAAAGTTGCTTCAAATGATCTCAGGAATCCCCCATTTGCGGATTGCGAGACATTTTTGGGTCACCCTGTAGTACTATCGTATTAAACAATTAAGATCGCTCATGAGTATCAAAATTTCTCGCATTTAATAATCTGTGGATTTTTATGCAAAATAAAAATCGTCTGCATTTATTGCAAGATACAGAAGCTACGTAAATATTTATTTCCTTTTTTAACAATTTCAATGAATTGGTAGAAACACGATTCTTAAGTTCTTTAAATGTGTTTCTTGTTTTGTATTTGATCTATTCGTTTTTGTCATAAATGCATAAAATTCGCAGACTATTCATTACAATTATTAGAAGAAAGAGCGATAGACGAAGAAATTTGAGTATCGCGAAATTGTGTTCTATGGGATTGAACATGGCTTTCGAGGCAGCAAAGAATGCTTCAGTTAAGCTGGACATCCCCGATACTGGCCCCAGAAACTCTGCAGGATGAAGAAAGGTTGAAACAAAGTGTAAAATCGCTGCAACGATTTCTGTCCTCCGATCGGGGGACAAAACGAGCGCCGGTATTATTGCGTTTTATTGCCTCGCGTTTGTTCTGTTCTGTGTTCCGGGGCTTCGCGAGGCCAGACTCCGCGTAATGTAGAAATATGAAACTTGTCGAGGGCAGGATATTAGAATGCCACGATCAATGAATGTGACCCGCGGAAAAGGGATTTATGTTGCAAATTGCGTCCCGACGCTCGGCCGACCGGTACGGACCACCGATTATTCTCGTTTAATATAACGACGATGCTGGGAACGCCGACCGACGGATCGATCAGGATCGAATGGAGGAAAAACCGTCGCAAAATAACGCTGGCGAATGTTTCCATCGGTCGCCGATGCTGTTTTCGAATGCATTTCGAGGCCGGTTTAATGGCGGCGCATTTGTACGAATCTTCGCCTGTGCTAATTTCTTTTCTTCTCTAATGTCTTTTCATGGCTTTTACGATTGTTCTACAATTTTGTTCTATAGCCTTTCGGGCTTTTATAACGTTTCTATGCAGAGCGGATGACTTTGCATACTCCGATTGGTTTCGATGATACGAGAAATTGTTCAAAAGGGAAACATTGAGGAGATAATTTAATTAGCAAAGCTGGTAAGCAACATGTTCTTCTGAAAGTTATATATTAGGTTGGAAACTATGAAACGGGCGTTTTTGGTTAGTCTGTGTTGAGAGAGGTTCGTTACAACTGCGACTGAGAGAGGTTCGTTACAACGTGCGCTCGATATTTTTATTTATAAATTTTAAAGGCATTCTTCTTACTCGTTTTGTAAAATTTTTTCATGTTTGTGTTCCATTTTGATTTTATATTTCTCCGAAACCAGATGGAAACAAAACGCGATTTACATCTACTTTTTTTGTACGAGTACAAATTGAATCATAGCGGAGCTCAAGCTTCGAGAAACAGTAATCAAGCTTTCGGAGATGGATCCACCAATGAAAAAAATGCTCGATATTGGCCCCAAAAATTTCGTTCTGGCAATTTGAGCATCGTCAATGAGCCTCGAGGAAGACCACCGGTCCACATTGACAACGAGGAATTAAGGACGACTGTGGAATCCGATCCAGACACAGCTATTCGTAAACTTGGGACTAAGCTAATAACTAGCCATACGGCTGTGTTGAAACATCCGCGTGCAATAGACAAAGTAAAAAGATTGGACTCATATGTACGGCACGAACTGACGGAATGCCCGTTTCATAGTTTCCAACCTAATATTACTCTGTATACGAAGATCATCGACATTTTTTATTTGTAGCTATTACAAAATGATAATAGAAGCACATACTTCTGTTTAAGCGTTTGTGTTCCAATGTTTGCTTCCTTTTATTTTATTATTACACGTGTCTGTAGCATTGCTGTAACATTACACGTACTTGCAACATTGCTATAGCATACTACGTACACTGTACATTCGCACGATAGGATCATGAACAGAGAAACATCTACGAAAATTACGAAATCTTATAGCGATGTCAAAGCCTTAAAGGCTTGTTGTTTCATGGAAAAAAAGCTACGTTCGAAAGATATCGCAGCCGAAGAATCGAATTTTGACGACAAAAGGATCGCTCTCCGCAGCGTCGCGAGAGCTCGGGAGAAAAGAAAAGACGGCAGAAGCAGGAGCAAGAGATCGGTTAAGAGCAAGGAAGAGAGATAGAAAGAAGGGGTCAGTGGGTACTCACCATCTTTCCTCTGTCTCCTCCAAGGTAAGGTACCGTGAATACTCTCGACGTCGGAGATATCGCTTCCGAGCAGTTGCCTGAGCTCCGCGTCCGCGCGATCCTCTTTCGTCCTGAACTTGCCAACCTGTAACGATCAGAGGAGACATCGGGTTCACAGATGCGGCCGCGTATTCGACGATATTGCAGAAATGAAAACGGAGACAAGCGGGATATTAATGCAACGGTAGGCAAGAAAAGAAATTGATTCTCCCCGCGGCAAAAAAGCAATTTATTCCCCTAGCCGGAGGGTGAGGCACTGGCACAGAGAGAGGTTTAACGGTGGTGGGGGGAAAGGCTCGGGAGAGGGAAACAGGAAAAGAGAGAAAGAGAAAGAGAGAGAGAGAGAGAGAGAGAGAGAGAGAGAGAGAAAGAGTGACAGAAAGAGAAAGAGCGGAACGGGGAGAGGGAGGGGAAGGAGCACCATAATGCCCTTCACGCTCCGATAACTGTATTTGATGAGAGCGGAGCCGGTGGCTCCGAAAGATTTTCAGCGACCACGGGACCAAAGAAAAATATGAGACCCGGCTTGTAACTCACCTCTGTGATCATCTTCCCCCTGGTCTTATTTCTTTCACGGTGATTGGCTTTTTTCTCGAGCTGCTGTATCACCCGTTCACGGGTGGTTCTGTACTCCAACGCGAATTCGGACACGATACGGCAGAACTCGTTCGGCTTGGTGTCCTGCACCCTGTGCAACGGGGTGCCCAGCCAGAGGATGAATTTATGGAATCGATTTATGATCCGCCTGTGCACGATACCCAGCACGATTATCCTCTCCGCGCAGTCCGCCAGGAAGTCCGACATTCTGAATGAACAGAGAGGGACGTCGAGCCCCCCGGTTAAAACCGTTGTTTTTTGTCTTTCCGAAAAATGAAATAAATCCCGCTAACAAACTGTGCTATTCGGCGATATCCTCCACCCCCCGCTTTCTCTCCGCCTCTTTCACTCTCTCGCGTTTCTCTCCGCCCTTTTTTTCGATTTCTCTTGTTTCGTTTTGTTTTGTTACGTTTTGTTCTGTTTGTTGTTTTCGAACGTTTTGTGCCGGGACCGTTTTCGCCGTTTTCGCCGTGTGTTTGTGTGTGCGCGCGCGCGCGCACTGACGTTTAAAATTCAAGCTTCGTTTGTCCTGACTCTTTTAGCATCCCCATTTTACATGGATCGAGGGCGGAATTGGAAAACATGACAGAAATTGTTTGTCCGATGTGTATACACATTTTCACAGAGCCTCTTACGTTTTAGCGAGCGGCTTTGCGAATGACGAACGATTCTATCGAAGAATCGTTACTTTCGTTTCTCGATACGACGAGGCTCTATCGCGAATGCTTGGTTTAGATTTAACACTATGCCGTCCGCAGATCTTAGATATGATTCTTTTGTTTGACGCCGACATAATAGTTCGGAAATTTTAGATTTTAAAAAGAATTTCGAAGATGGCGGTAATATAAATTCCTAAAATTAAGATAAGTCATTCAAGAATTTTCGTACTTAATTCTTAGTTAAATAAGCACAATGCTACGTAATTATAATGCTATATAACTAACGTTTGCTGCCTTTTAACACCCAAGAAATATAGATCTAATGTTATTTCAGTTTTTTGAAATGGCACCAAAGTGGTACCACCGGCATACAACAGACAGTTTTTGCGTGGCACCAGCGTGGTGCCACCGGACGGCATAGTGTTAATATTGCTTAGCAATAATCTGCTAGGAAAATCAAATTTTGTTCTCTCGTTAAAAACACTATATATTTTCCTTTTCTTCTAAGAAACTAGTACATTCAGAATTAAAAACGGGCAAGAGTATTTTCGCGGTCGATGAAATCGGCTTGGAATTACAAAAGAAGAAGCTCGAAATCTCAGAAAACTATATTACCCTAGAAATATAGTTCAAATGTTATTTCAGTTTTTTAAAATGGCACCAAAGTGGTACCACCGGCATGCAACAGATAGTTTTTGCATGGCACCAGCGTGGTGCAACCGGACGGCATAGTGTTAATATTGCTTAGCAATAATCTGCTAGGAAAATCAAATTTTGTTCTCTCGTTAAAAACACTATATATTTTCCTTTTCTTCTATAAGAAACTAGTACATTCAGAATTAAAAACGGGCAAGAGTATTTTCGCGGTCGATGAAATCGGCCTGGAATTACAAAAGAAGAAGCTCGAAATCTCAAAAAACTATAGTACGTCCATTTTCATTAGGTTTTCGAAATCTTCAATTCTCTCTGCTCGCAAAGCTCACTCCTACAATTTTAAAGAAATTTGCGTCTGTTACAAATTAAAATCAAAATTCATACTGTAACGTTCTCCCGTTTCTGCTTACTGCTAGAGGGAGACAAAAATCACGTGAACGATCAAGTATTAAACACTCGTAAAAGAGCAGGAATTGTGAACAAATCGGTACTCCCAGCATCCGACTTCCTCGAGACCAGCGGACTAGAAGAAGAAACCAGATTGATCGGCGAGCAAATGGCTCGTCCCGGCACCGCTGTAAACCCTTCTTCGGCCACCCGATATGCACACCCGGTATCCTTAACACACGGCTCAAAACGCTCGCCGTAAAATACGGCTCGGCTAACGAGTAATTATAATATGAAGACGCAGTCAATCAGCCGTGGCGAATTTTTTGCATGAAAAAATCCCCATTACTCCGGACAGTCGGCTGTACGTGTATACACACGGCTAAGGGTCCAGGAAGACGATCGCCGAACGAAACGAGCGCCGAGACAAAAACGAATTAACTCGACCGACATTTAGGACGTCCCGTTACAGTTAATTAGCACGGGCACGCGAAGCACGCCGGTATTAACGGGCCGCTTCCTCGNATGGCACCAAAGTGGTACCACCGGCATGCAACAGATAGTTTTTGCATGGCACCAGCGTGGTGCAACCGGACGGCATAGTGTTAATATTGCTTAGCAATAATCTGCTAGGAAAATCAAATTTTGTTCTCTCGTTAAAAACACTATATATTTTCCTTTTCTTCTAAGAAACTAGTACATTCAGAATTAAAAACGGGCAAGAGTATTTTCGCGGTCGATGAAATCGGCTTGGAATTACAAAAGAAGAAGCTCGAAATCTCAGAAAACTATATTACCCTAGAAATATAGTTCAAATGTTATTTCAGTTTTTTAAAATGGCACCAAAGTGGTACCACCGGCATGCAACAGATAGTTTTTGCATGGCACCAGCGTGGTGCAACCGGACGGCATAGTGTTAATATTGCTTAGCAATAATCTGCTAGGAAAATCAAATTTTGTTCTCTCGTTAAAAACACTATATATTTTCCTTTTCTTCTATAAGAAACTAGTACATTCAGAATTAAAAACGGGCAAGAGTATTTTCGCGGTCGATGAAATCGGCCTGGAATTACAAAAGAAGAAGCTCGAAATCTCAAAAAACTATAGTACGTCCATTTTCATTAGGTTTTCGAAATCTTCAATTCTCTCTGCTCGCAAAGCTCACTCCTACAATTTTAAAGAAATTTGCGTCTGTTACAAATTAAAATCAAAATTCATACTGTAACGTTCTCCCGTTTCTGCTTACTGCTAGAGGGAGACAAAAATCACGTGAACGATCAAGTATTAAACACTCGTAAAAGAGCAGGAATTGTGAACAAATCGGTACTCCCAGCATCCGACTTCCTCGAGACCAGCGGACTAGAAGAAGAAACCAGATTGATCGGCGAGCAAATGGCTCGTCCCGGCACCGCTGTAAACCCTTCTTCGGCCACCCGATATGCACACCCGGTATCCTTAACACACGGCTCAAAACGCTCGCCGTAAAATACGGCTCGGCTAACGAGTAATTATAATATGAAGACGCAGTCAATCAGCCGTGGCGAATTTTTTGCATGAAAAAATCCCCATTACTCCGGACAGTCGGCTGTACGTGTATACACACGGCTAAGGGTCCAGGAAGACGATCGCCGAACGAAACGAGCGCCGAGACAAAAACGAATTAACTCGACCGACATTTAGGACGTCCCGTTACAGTTAATTAGCACGGGCACGCGAAGCACGCCGGTATTAACGGGCCGCTTCCTCGTTCAACAAAATAGAAAATACCGCGGGTCTGAAAAGTATTCGATCGAATTTTAAGCTTCCGATTTTCGGGAAGTCGATCTTGCAAGAAGGAATCTCTTTGGCTGATTAATCCGTACTGATTCTGAAGCTTGTACTATACACTTTTGCATAAGCTCAATAATCATTCTGGACGCGATCTTAAAGCTTAGGATCTCCACTTTCACGATCCATCGTGCATACTTTCTCTGAGAAATGCTTTAGGTATGATATTGTGCGTGAGAAAGCGAAGACATGTTTCATCTCGAAAATAGTTTAAATTGGCCTACGATTTTTTTCAGAGCCACACTGACTAAAACTTCTTTCTCGTTAATAAACTCTTCTAAAAGCAAACAATTTTACATTGTTTACATTTACACGTCTGCGTTAATTCTAATGATCGAGTATCGATAACGGACAAATTAAATCTTATTTCGATTTAAAACAGATGAATAAAATTACGTGTACATTATTACATAAATTACATGTAAAATTACATGTACTTACATTAAAAAGATTTTTAAATTTGTTTCGTGACTGACTTTACCTTAGGCTTCGAGATAGAAGCTTCCTCTGTACAATGATTCTTGAAACTCAGCGCGCAATTTTATTTTAACTGTTTTACCGAAGAAAAACGGGAAACGAGTCCTATACAAGAATTCATAAAACTCTCTCGAAAAATCCTGTATTAAGTATCAAGGAGTCATTAAATAGAGGAAGCTCGAAGTTTCAAAATGCGTTCAAAATGGTTGCCGTACGTTTGCAGTTGAATCGTCGAGAATTTTTCGAAAATCGAAACGACGAGACGGCGACGTTCGCCGAGTCAGCGTATATTTTCTTGTCGATTGCGCGAAGACAATCATCGAAGTCATCTTTCCTCGATCCCGCTCGCCGTGAATCCACTCCGGTATCCATTGTACGAGGCGGACAACGGAAGAAATGGATTTTCAATCGGCAATTAGTCCGAATGTTCTCGGTATTGTTCCCGGCAGCTCTTGGCCATCGTTAAGGTTGCCCGTTTACGAGCTCCTTTGTTCCCGGAGCATGCGTTAGGACGCGTTTAATCGTATTTACAGTTCGCAGTGAACGGGGGAACAATAGTGGTGCCGGGGACCTGACAAATCTCGTACTTAATTGCAACGTCGGCAGGGAACTCGACGGCGAGGGAACGCAAGGGGGACGAGGACACGCATAAGTAGCAGTTGCTGGAGTAACGCTTCATATCCTGCCGAGGGCTGATGCGCCTAGCCGAGTCGAACCGAGCCGATCCGAGCCGAGCCGAGCCGGCAAACATAATTATTGTCCAAGCAGAAACCTAAAGGAAACTGTAATGCAAACTGGGAGAACTTATGCTATTTACCAGGGTTTCCTCTGCAACCCTCTATGTGGGTCGAATTTTTTTCTTAAATATAACAAAATTTATGCGAGGGAAAATCTATTATTATAAACCTGTGTATGCTACTTAAAAAAATATTTCACGGTTTAACCCTTAAATGCATGATTTTTTGTTTTGAATTTTAAAAAATTGTTTTTTATAGGAATGTAGTCATAGGTTACGTAAAAAATAAATTAAAAAATCTAGATAATAATATCGAGTATTTATTTTGAAAAATGTTGTATGTAGACTTTTGGCAACAATATGCGTTTATTACTAAAATTATTGTAGACGTAAACAAATGGTCATGTATTTATATCATCTATTAGTATAGGAATTTTCACATTATTTATAAATGAAATGCAGCAAAGCAATTGCGATTTTTGTTGTGACACAAAGCAATTAGATAAATCACTCCTTTATAGGAAACTCGAAAAAAGGAAATATCTCTCCAAGTAACACATTGAAGGTTATCACCCATCACATTCAAATGTCAAAAAACATATAACTTACTCGCTAAAAGTAATGTCAAGTCTTTTATTTCACACATGGTCTATTGTCCATTGTTATCAACGTGTGTTCGGAAACGCACATACTCGGGTTTTTGAATAAAATTAAGTGGAACTGAAATGTAGACAATTGGCAACAATATGCATTTAAGGGTTAAACAACTTTATTATAACTAATTCAATTTGTAACTTTGAAGTAACAACGGTTTCCACTTCTGTGCATAAATGCTTAAACGTGAATGATGACAATTGTTACTGATGACAATTATTACTCGTCTGGGATACTGATCAAAACAATTTTTTTTTCTTGAATTTTCCTCATCTGACGACCACTCGGTACTCAATTCATCATCACCGTCAATAACATTTATGCGTCCTGTGGTAAATGCTACTGGATGATTTTCATCGGACTCGGAATCTAATAAAGAATCTTCGGTTCTGTTACCGCTAATGCGTCTAATTCTAATTCCTCTTTTATTTTTGTATGATTTTGTATCCATATTTTGGGTATTTGATATATAAATTTGAAAATAGAAGAAAGCGCAACTATTATCCTAAATACACTCAAATCTACCATAATATCCAAAATAATCTGAAAGTTACAAAACTGTATCATGTACGAATAGTAACAAAATGATTATTGAAATGCAAATAAATAAATTGATATACGAACCCAGAGTTATTATATACGCTTTTTTTTTTATTTAGTAAACACCAACGAAAGCACAAATAATCTCAATTGCACAATACGGTCTCTTTGGTTTCTATCTGCAGACAACTTGCAAGGTATTTATTTTGATATTTCAGGTTGATGGTGCTGCCAACCGTCATCAATATTGTTATTGGTTATTTCAGAGGCATTATACAATTAAGACGTATACATCATCTTGTGAAAAAAACTAAAACTATTTGGTAAAATGTGGATACATTAGCTTGTGACTTGAAAGTTACACGGGCCCGTAGAGGGTTAAGGTGTGAAACCCTAATTCTCACACTCCGGAGTTCGGTATTTAATATTTGTTATTAATTAAAAATATATCATAGTGTGCAAGTGGAGAATTCTAACGAGATAACGCTCGGCAAAGTATAATAGATAAACGGTAAGGGAAAATGGAAAACAGAAAAGTATTGCGGAATTGATTCATCACGGAACGGAATTCTGTTTTCGTAGACAAATTAAAGGTTTTAATATTCATTGATCCGAATATATTCGTTACGATCGACGGAACGGTTACTATAAAAGTGACGCTTCCAATTTATCAACATCCGATCGAACAAGCCCCGAAATCTGATTCTAGCTGAATTCAGCTTGATTGGATTATCATATAGATTACAACGGGACGTAGTTTACATGTTTTACGCGTAGTTTAAACAAGCAATTAAAACTCACTCTCGAATGCAAACAGAGAGACAATGTTTTTGATCAACGCGGAAGGTGGAGATTTTAATTTGAAATTGACAATCTTTAGAAAATATTGACAGAAATTAACGGGAATCGAAAATGAACATTTAAGAATGCAGATTAGCATATCTGCTTCAGAATTTATTGTCAAACCTGTTAATATTTTCAACGGTATAAATGGCGATATAACATATTCAACTCATTCTCGATAGAATGAAGCACCGGACAGGACCCTTTATATTTCAATTAGCCCACATTTGAACCGTTTTCTGCATTGATGGGTAGCCCTAATGCTGTTCAATGAGCAATTTTTCGGACCAGAACCTCTCTGCGAGGTTAACAGCTGCGGATAAAGTGAAGGGACAAAAAGAGGAGCCGAAATAGTGTTCGATATAGCCGACTTTCATACATAGATAACGGCTGGGGGAACGAGGATGAACAGATAAGAGCTCCGTAGATCCACCGCGAAACTCGAAGTAGGAACAGGATAAGGTGAAATAGAAAAAGGATGAGGTAAAAAAAGGAGTTAAAGGGACCGGGCAGGAAGTCGGACCAAGGAAGGAAGAAATACGCTTTCAGTAATTAATGGTGGCGCCATTTGGAACGGTGCCAGTTTCCGTCCGTGGGAAAAAGTCTGTCGCGGAGTTTATCGAACATTTCTCGGATCTCTGTCGAATTTCGCGGCAAGAAGTTCGCAAGAAAATAGTGGGGAGGGGGGATGGGAGAAACTCGAAGCCGTAGGTGTCCGACGGTAATCGAAAACGGAGCGGGCGTCCACGCGGATCGAAAACACGTTTCCGACAGGTACTTACTTGACTTTCATCATGGTGGAGCCGTCGTGTTTCGCGATCAGCTTCAGGTGGTCCCAGGATGCCTTGCACTCGCTCTCCAGTTTGCCGATGTTCGACGCCAGCTCGTCGAAGTCGATCTTCGAGGCTCTCGTCACGGCTCCGATCTAAACAACACCGGCATCGATCGCGATTACGCGCTGAAAAACGGCCTCTTGCGGCGCAATGCACAGAAATCTACCGGATGCCGCGTAACTTATCGGATCAGGCGATGATTTCATAATTATCAATAAATATAATTTACAATATATAGGTCGTTCGGAAAGTTGTTTTGTTTTTCATACAAATTTCATTTTGTAAGGGTGTTAAAAAGACGCTTGATTCGATACTTTTCCAAATGTAAAACAATAAGATCTCAAAGCTACCAGAAAAATGTCGAAAAGTTTGCTTTTACTTGTAACATTAAAAAACTCGTCTTTCATTTTCTCGCGAAAGTAGAAAACAACTTTCCGAACGACCTAATATAATTTACAGTGAAAAAGCTTCTCAGTAAATCGTTTAGTGGCACTGATTAGTCGAATCGTGTACCAATCGTCTCCAATAACATTATCTAATAATTTCTTCCAGTCCATTTCCAATATAATGGAATTTTCTAATCATTTCTTCCAATAATTTCTTCCTATCCAATAAATTCTACTAAAAGCATCCTTAGCAATCCCTGTGCAACAACTGCTCGAGAATCAAATAGCATAAATCTTTTAACTAGAAAACGCATAGCTAAGAGATGAAATTTTAGTAGACCGCGTAATTTCTATCAAAGTTAGATATCAAATTGATTCGCCAAGTTAACAGCAAAATGTGCGAATCGGATGGACAAAATTCATTTCGACAGTGAAATAAGGAAAGAAGTCGCAAGCCGTGCGGCAAAATTCCACGGACCGAAGCGGAAACGTTTCTAGAGTTGTGCGGCGACAAATTGAAAACGCTGCTCGCGCGAGGGTTCCGCTTGGCCTCCAATTAAACGGGAGCCGGAGTTAGCGTCGCGGCGTGCCCGATTTCACGGAGCAGCGTTTCAAACGGTTCCCGTAGAACTTGGGAGACCGGGAGACAAAGAGACAGGAAGTTCTGGTCGCGATTTCGCGAATGTAAGCCCGGTTATTCGGTGTTGCGGCGATTGGAAAGGCTCCGCCCTCGCTGCCTGGTCGTCCGCGTGCCGAGAGGACGTGCCTGGCGGGACGACGGCTCGAGGAACGAAACTAAAGTTTTATCCGGAAGTAAAGCGGCGGCGTGGCACTCACCTCCGAATAGAGATCCGTAGAATCCGGAAACTTCTCCATCACCATGTGGCAAAGGTGATGAAGCAGCGAGTGCTTGTGAACCGTATCCTTCACTTCAGGTACTTTGGCGAGGTATTCCAGCTGAAAGCCCTTCACCTGAAAAAGGCAGTGAGAGAGAGAGGGGGAGAGAGAGAGAGAGAGGAGAGAGGAGAGGACGTGTCAGCGTTACGCGACGCCCGGAAACTCGTGTGCCGGCCCGGCTAACTTCGACCCTTCAGGCTTCTCCGACTTCCCGCCGGACGCTTCCGGCCACTTTCCCCGTCTAACATAATTCTCGCGGAAACTTGAAATCGATATCCGCCCCCGTCTCCTGGCCCTTCGAGATGCCGCTCGAGCCATCCGTCCGACCGAACATTTTTATCGTCCAAATTTATGAAAGTTACCAACAAATTTTCAGCTTCTTCTTTTCCTCCTCTCTATTCAACGTCGCGTCAACGCCGCGGCTTATACCGCAACCGGTGGCCGGTATTCAGCAAGAGATTTCTCAGTAAACAATTGTTTGCGTAGAAGAAACGTATTTAGCGCATTGGCTACACTAAGAAGTCTCGTAAAATCAGAGTACAGTAATGTCTTTCTAATTGACGCTCAGATTGTCCACAAAAATGGACAATTTAGGAAGAGGAGATACGATTGTTCGATCCTTGCGGTTCATTTTTATAGTCACGAATTGTCAACGGCTATAAGAACGAGCTGCAAGGCTCGAATAATCGTATCTTCTCTTCCCAAATGGTCCATTTTTGTGCAGAATCTGAGCGTCGGTTAGGGAGACATTACTGTAGCTTAGTTAGTGTGATTAGGATCTGCAGAGTGGAAATGATTCTCTCGCAATAATAGATGCACATCCCTTGCACATCCTTTTTACATCCCCCTGCACAAGGGATGTAAAAAGAAGGCGATGAAAAGACGACTCTCAATGCTGTTGTCACGATAGCAAATGTTGCTGATATAATTTCTGGTTCCCGCGACTCGGTGTTTAAATCTCCGCCAGGTAGAGTCGAATTTTTACGGTCATTTCGGAACGATTTGAACGTTCAGAGCCTGGGAAGTTTCTCAGTCGAAAGTTAAGATGTTGAGCTAGGAAATAAAAGGCGGTAAAAAATTCGATTGTCGGCGAAGAGTTAACAGCCGGCGGGTGTATTAACGTTTGACTCGCTGCGTGCGCGCGTGTTCGTGTGAAATTCTGCAGAAAACTTTAACGAGTTGAATAACAAATTTGATTCGACCGGGGGTCCGTTTCTGCTAATTTACCGGGGACCAGGTCGAGGGAGCCGCGGCTCGCGGCTCGCATCGGTCGCAGCCGCTGCGATAGCGGCCTCGATAAATGAGCGTAGCGTGTAAAAACAGGGCGAACAACGCCGCGGTGTGGGGCGATAAGAAACGATTAGCCGCGCGGTGCCAAAGAAATCGGCGCGGTTAATGTATTCGTACGGGAGCGAACGGTGACGAATGAAAAGGACTCGCAGGTCCGGCCGTTGCGTCGGATCAGCCGGCTGAAACACACGTCGTCGCACGAATATTCGTGCGAATCTACCATTCGTGTGATTCGATAACGCGCGTTCAGCTGCACCGGGCACGAAAGCCATCGGCCTGTTTGCCGACCGAGCCGGGCCGAGCGTCGTTTGCTTAGTTTAAACAACAATTTTCGTTATTAATGCGACTCGCGCGGTTTGAACAGCGCACTTATTTCTACCGGCGGTGTTTACGCTGGCGTCGCGTCATTTCGAACGGCTGACACGTGCGTCGCGCTAGTTTTTCTATTCATTAGGAGCATCGATGGTAAAGAGAAGATTACGCTATTCAATTTGAAGATCAGATATCGAGCTGAAATTTAAACACCGACCCGGCTCGGCTTGTTTGTTCCGCAACCGCTGTAAACGTACTTTTCTCGGAAGTAATTAAGATCGACTTGTTCGGTCGCCTGTTGGTATAACTCTGCAAACGTACTGTTTCATTTTTGTACCACACGAAACACGCACTTCTGACACCAGAATTATCCGCCTATCGGATACCATTTTTTACAGTATTCTTACTTTTTATCGGAATCATACGCGAGATTCGAATCCAATCGTGTTCATTATTATAAAACATACGTTTGTCCCCCGTGTGGATAATTCCAGCGTTATAATGCCACGAAAAGTCAAATGTAACGTTTCCAACTCCAGGCGAAAACCGCACGGAATTCCGCGATCTTAGGCACAAAGAGATTCCATCGGTTAAACGAATGGTGAAAACGGTACCGCACGAAACCGCGCGGACCGCACAAACGCAAATTGTGCAAACCGTAACAAGTACGCCGACGTTTCGTCATTATCGAACAAAAGGGAAACGCGATAGGTCAAGAGTTTCCGATTTCGGTAACGTGGCAGTGGTCCAAGCGAACGAGCCCGGCCCGGTCGGAATCCGAATCCGAATCAAAATCCGAAGCCGATCCGCTCCCTTCTTTCCGCGCCGTCGGCGGACGGTTACACGAAAATTATCGACGCGGATGGATATCGATTCCGCGCGAACGGCGTCTCCGACGGATGGATTAAGCGGATATCATTTGGCTGGCATTCAATACCTACCTCATTTCCGTTGAGGAATATCCCGATCGAAAGGAGCGTGCTCAGAATCCCGCGGAACGTTTTATTCACTCGGAGGGTCTCCATTCCCTGCTTCAGATCCATCAGAGGTTCCGCAATTTCCTGAAGTCACAAAGGTGGTTCGCGATTATTTCTTTCGCAGCCGCGTTCCCAGCCGCGCGACGCCGGCCGAGGCCGAGGCTCGGGCTGAAAGACGGTTCTTCGTTGTGCCGGCCTCTGCCGATCGTCCACCTTTTCCACGAATTCCCGTCGCGACGCGTCCGCCACCGAGCTTAACCCCAGCCTACGCTGTTTGCTCTTCCCAGAGGCGACAACTACTCCGCCGGAAATCATTTCGGCGCACGCTGGATGCACGCCGACGGTCAAAGAAGCTTTCCAAGGGATGGCCGCGGTAATAAGGGAGAATGGTGTCCCCGGTTTGCAACCGGGGATCGAAAACCGTTGCAACGGCGGTTCTTCTGACAGTTGCCAGGAATCTTCGGGACAACTGTTCCGAAGAACCGAAATTTAAATCTGTTTCGGTCTCCACTTTAACCGTTTGAGTCCCAGAGATTATTCAGAAAACACGGTCGAAAAATGCCGAACAGCATGATGGCGGTTGTTTTAACACTATGCCGTCCGCAGATCTTAAATATGATTCTTTTGTTTGACCCCGGCATAATAGCTTGGAAATTTTAGATTTTTAAAAAAGTTTCGAAGATGGCGGTAATATAAATTCCTAAAATTAAGATATGTCATCCAAGAATTTTCGTAACTTAATTCTTAGTTAAATAAGCACAATGCTATAGTTAGTTTGCTGCCTTTTAACACCCAAGAAATATAGATCTAATGTTATTTCAGTTTTTTTAAATGGCACCAAAGTGGTACCATTGGCATACAACAGATAGTTTTTGCATGGCACCAGCGTGGAGCCACCGGACGGCATAGTGTTAATTGATTGCGAAGAGAACCAACCAAGCAGCTATGCGTGCATCACTAAAGTTTGATCGCGACACAAGCTCTGAACAACACGATCGCGCTGCTTGGGACTGAAACGGTTAATTACTGCATCGATTTTATCGCATCGATGTCACTAAATTCCTAGAATACGGATTTTGTGAATTTATCCTATGAGTTTAAAACAGACGACAGATTAAAATTGATGGAGAATAGCAATACACTACTTTCAACTCGTTAGTAGAGCGACTCCCAGTTTTTCAAATCGAATAAGTTTGTATTTTGCATAAGGATTCGCAGTCTTAATTAATTACAATTAATTCTAATAATAACGATAACAGCGTCTGTGTTGAACGGAAACGAATGTTTCTTCCCTGAATCGTAAAAGCTAAGCAAGAAAAATTTCGATGCATCAAATTTGTTGGACCGTTTTCAATCTTTCTTGCATCCTGTATTGCTATTATTGATCACTTAACCCATTTGTAGCAATTAATTGTTCCGGATTGAAACGACTTCGTCATGAAACGTTCGCGAGCACTGGACCATTTTACTTATCAGAAAGAAGAAACAGAGAATCGGTCAATAAATGTTATGCACTCCGTTGCTCGGAGGAAGTCCGCTGAGAAAAGTGTAGAATCAACTCCATGTTAACGCTCTCGCAGAAGTAGGGTAAACGCGTTTCCCTTATTGGCAGAAATGATCCCCTTCTATTGGCCCCAAATTAGCCGCGATACTAAATTTCCACGAAGCGAGCTCGGCCGAATAAAAACAAACAACGTCTGACTCCCGTCAGGTCTCGCTACCTCGCGGTTGCCATTTTCGGCTAGGAGCACATCAGACGCTTGTGCTGTGCTTTCTGTGGGTATAATGTGTATGCGTGTGTGTATTATTTACGCGACTACGGGCGAGCGAGACGCGCGACGGGCGTCAGGAGGCGCGGAACAATCGAGATAAAGAGAAACAGACGCAACAATTACAAGATGCAAGAGAGTTGACTTATCCTTAAAGCATTAACTTCAGATTCTTCTGATAAACGCATGATAATTTGTAATTACTAATTATTAATTAGCATCTTGATTAAATTTTCATTGCATTGTGCAGCAAACTAGCTGTACCATACACATATTTTTTATATTGGGTCGTTCGGAAAGATGTTCCGTTCTTTCACGAGAAAATAAAAGACAATTTTTTAACGTTTCAAATAAAAAAGAAACTTTCCGTCATTTTTCTGCTGTTTTCAAAATCTTATCTCGTAGAAGCCCCGTCGTTTATTCGTAAAATGCTGAATCATGTGCTTCTCTAANTTGCATCCTGTATTGCTATTATTGATCACTTAACCCATTTGTAGCAATTAATTGTTCCGGATTGAAACGACTTCGTCATGAAACGTTCGCGAGCACTGGACCATTTTACTTATCAGAAAGAAGAAACAGAGAATCGGTCAATAAATGTTATGCACTCCGTTGCTCGGAGGAAGTCCGCTGAGAAAAGTGTAGAATCAACTCCATGTTAACGCTCTCGCAGAAGTAGGGTAAACGCGTTTCCCTTATTGGCAGAAATGATCCCCTTCTATTGGCCCCAAATTAGCCGCGATACTAAATTTCCACGAAGCGAGCTCGGCCGAATAAAAACAAACAACGTCTGACTCCCGTCAGGTCTCGCTACCTCGCGGTTGCCATTTTCGGCTAGGAGCACATCAGACGCTTGTGCCTGTGCTTTCTGTGGGTATAATGTGTATGCGTGTGTGTATTATTTACGCGACTACGGGCGAGCGAGACGCGCGACGGGCGTCAGGAGGCGCGGAACAATCGAGATAAAGAGAAACAGACGCAACAATTACAAGATGCAAGAGAGTTGACTTATCCTTAAAGCATTAACTTCAGATTCTTCTGATAAACGCATGATAATTTGTAATTACTAATTATTAATTAGCATCTTGATTAAATTTTCATTGCATTGTGCAGCAAACTAGCTGTACCATACACATATTTTTTATATTGGGTCGTTCGGAAAGATGTTCCGTTCTTTCACGAGAAAATAAAAGACAATTTTTTAACGTTTCAAATAAAAAAGAAACTTTCCGTCATTTTTCTGCTGTTTTCAAAATCTTATCTCGTAGAAGCCCCGTCGTTTATTCGTAAAATGCTGAATCATGTGCTTCTCTAAACAAGTTTACAAGACGAAATTTTTTTTTTAGAAACGTAACAACTTTCCGAACGACCTAATATTCACGTTGTATCATATGATTTCTTTTAAAGGGTTTATCATACACGTCTTAAATATGTGTTCAATATTTATGAAGTATAGGTGAGCATAATCATGTTTTGCTCGTGCAGTATTACTCTCATGTTCGCAGGCCTGCAACGTATTATTCGAGTACAGAAATGTGTTACGGATATCTTACGCTTACGTTGACGTGTAACGTTAAGAACCCGAAGGTAATTATTGGGAAACGAGAAAATGAAATACTGCGCATAAACTAAGTGACGCAAGGGCCAGAGGGCAAGGGGAATCGATCGTCCGCTCCACCTAATCTGTTCCAATTTTTTTAAATTTCAGACTGTTGTTTATTATTGGCTAAGTTACGCGCTGAACAAGAGACGCGATTAGCTGGAGCGGGCGACCGATCCCCCTTGCTCTTCTCTCGTCGATTGGCTCGTGGGTCTCTTTGTTCACCAATAGAAGTGTTTCGGGAGGTCCTAGAAAAGTGTAAACCATGGATATGCAGGTCAGGCGGAGCAAGCGGAATACCTCCCTCGTCTTCCTGCCCAAACAGCGATTTTATTTCGAGCAACGGAGAGTACCTAGCACAAGAGCGAAATAACGCAACAGCCAATTACGATCTACTCTTTGACAGCTTTAACCACGCCTAAGCCTGGCCTTTACGAATGAGACGTGTGTACTCCGGCAAATGTGATAATAGAATATCGTATTTCTTTAAATCAACGCGATCATCCTGGTTTACTGGCAAGACCGCGAACGGCCGAGGACGCGGACAATTCGGAAACGAAAGCTTTCTTTCCTTTTCATTACGCAACCCGTCGATCGTTAGTCAGAACGACGCGACGCGACGCGCCGTGGCCGTAAATGCAACGCAATACGAGAAGCTGCATGTAATTCCGAATGCAAATTCTCTTAAGCAACGTCGAATACGAATGCGCGCGCGTAACAGCGATCGAATTGGCCCGTTATTTCTCACGAATCTCGTCTCGAATTCCACGGAGATAGCCCCGGCCGCGGACGAGGAAAAACGCCAGGTATGCGGGGAAGGAAGTCGCGGGCGAGCGTTCCCCGCATAATCGCGCGATTTCTTCGCCGGGAACACGGCGAATACCGATACGCGATCGTGCTTTTAGAACGGGACGTGCATCACAGCGCCGAGGAGAACTGGCGCCTTGTGCTGGAGGGTGTGAAACACTTTGACCGGGATATCCAATGATTTCCGAATGCGCAGCCTTCTCTCTCTCTCTCTCTCTCTCTCTCTCTCTCTCTCGCTTTGTCGCTGTTGTTCGCTTCGTCACCTACGGCCGTCCTCGCATTGCAAATCTCTCCACGCGAATTCTGATTCTCGTTAATTGATTTCGCAAACAAACAGTTTCCGCATCCACTTGAATATTTCTCGTATCAAACGATTCACGTTTTCTCGCATTTTACATACTACGAATGCGCAACACGACGTCTAGCCAGCGTATTTCTCTTTCATCGTCCCATTAACATTTAATTACGCTATCGCAAGAACGATTACAATCGTCCGAATTTCGTGTAATACTCTTTATCGTCGAATTTCGCGTTAACGAGGTGAAACTACTTAAACATCGTTTCGCGGGATCATTTTTGCCGGACGATCTACGTTATCAATCATGTTGGAATTTATATCGTGCCGTATTTTCTACCGCGCGAAATGCCGCGTCATATTGCACAATTCTGATTTGAACCGTCCGATAATACCGTTTTTTTAAATTCTTTTCAAAGCTGCGCTCTGCAAGCCATCGTTTGAAATGCAGGGGAAAAAGCTGGTAATCACCGGCTGGCAAGTCGGGGCTGCGGATCGTTAAAAATTTCGCAGCGAAATTACTGCGACCACCGCTGTTTTATCGGATGGTCTAAATCCCGAACGGCGGAATGCTCGAAGACGCGGATTTAAGAAGCTGGTGAATTATCGTTGTTCTTTTTTTCCAGCGCTGTTCCCGCGACCGACGTCGGATTGTTTTGGGGAAAATCACGGTTCGGCGGACGCTAACGGGCCGGATTTCCGGGGAATACGGATTTCTCCGATGAACAGAGCATAATTTATGGACGCATCATCGGCTAACTCGCGGTTGCACGGGGCACAACGGCGAGCCGCTCTCGCTTATCAATTATCCGTGAAAACTGGCTTTGCTTACCTTCTCCGAATTCTCGAAGTCCAACTTGAACGCCCAAAGTTTCAGTCGGGCGGGCAACTCCGAGATGGAGGCCAAAGTTAGAAGAAACTGCTCGGCCGATCCCAAAGGTAGGTCAGGATTGGCGGCCTGCGCCTCTTGTATCCTGGACCTCTCCTCCTCGGTTGGCAGCATCGTCAATAGTTTCTGTGGTGCGGGGCGCGAGCCAAGGGGACAAGGAGAAGGAACGAACGAAGAACAGAAGCGAACACGAAAATTAGAGAAATCAGAGAAAACACGAACGGAACAGATGTGCGTTTCAACTGAATTAGGGGGCCGACTGTGAACCAAGGATCGTGACTGCCGCGGTCGAGCTCTCGCTCAGGGGCTTTGAACGAAATTGGGATCGCGACGAGTGCGAGCACTCGTGCTTTCTTGTGGGGAAAAAAAAAACACAGGGAACAAGGTAGAGAAACGTCAGAAAGGTCTGTTCGATGATCGAGAATGATCGAGGTAGTATAATTATTCGTTATCGGTCGTTAGTTTTCGGTACGAGGGCGAGAAACTGCGATTGCTTCGTTTCGACATTTTACACGTTCTCTAAAATGTTTCAGAAATATTTCTCCACGTGTATTCCGCTACGGCTTTATAAAAGGAGCTCTGCCTTTTCCATCGATCCCTCAAATGTTAATCCGCGACCTTTTTTCGCGGTTTTATCGTTTAAACACCGTAAAGTCGTTTCAATTTCAAACGGAGAAAAGTAGCTACGGTTTCTCGCTCCGTATGACGATCAAAAATATTCTCCGAAGAATTAAGTCCAAGGGCGTGAAAGTACAGAATTCGCCCTTCGAAACGAGCCCAGCTGGAGTTTCGTATGTTTTTACAAGAATTCACAGCGTCTCGATTATGAAGAATTTTTCGCGAGCGAACACGCGAAGAGAAAACGTTTATTGTCTTTCGGTATATTTACGTATAGTAAGTATGCTACGATATTAATAATTTATATCCGAGATTTACATTCGTGCTTTTCTGTATCAATTAATCAGAATTCAGAAGAATAATACATTTGCGAACAAGCACAACAATGTAACAAGTGGACCGTGGGACTTCATGCATTTATGTATGAAACGAATGCTGTACGTATCTCCGCAAAAGTACGATGAAAGTAGAAAGATGATCGTTCTCACCTCGATACCCTCACGGTTCATGATAGTGGCGTCCATTTTCAAGATGGCAGTCTTAATCGATCTCGGCGGTGGCAGCTTGGTCATCCCGATATTGATGGCGTTCGATCGCTTGTGGTCCAACACGATGATCTCTTTGTTCTTGTTCATCTCTTGCTGCTTCTACTCGACGGCAAAAAAGCGAACTGTTAGCGATCGGCGGCGAGTCCGATATCGGAGGGCAACTTAACAACGTGTTTGTTTCAATCTGTTCTTGTGTTCTGTTTGATTACGCTGCAACACTCAAAACAGTGAACTAAAATCAGAACGAACACCGTGCACGAGTGGCTTCCAAACGAAATACGCGCGGCTGCTTGTGCGAGAACGTACAGGTTGTCCCAAAAATATGCACCTGTTCTTGGCCCGCGTGCAGTTCGAAAGGTCGTTCAGCACTTTGGAAGCCGAGGGGCGCCGTTTCGAGAAGGCTAACGGTTGAAAATCGGAAAACGGAGAAACGTTTCCGAAGTAAGTACTTGATATTTTCAATCGTTGCCTTGCCCGAAACGGGGGTCCGATGTGAAAAGCTTTCGAATTTGTAGGCGAGTCATGTTTCGTCTATTTTTCCGGGACACTCGGTACATCCAGCAGCCAAGTGCGGATGAAATATTCGATTCCGGAGGGACGGAGCACGAAAATGCGGAGAGATAGGAGCGCGCGATGGTAATGTATTCGCTGTTTCTGCGGATCAATCACCGGAGAGTAACATTACTATCGGTGGAACGAAATTAGTGAGGCCGGAAACGAACCGTGTACAACATAATGGCTGACACTACGGTGCTGTTGCGGCCGATACAAGGAACAGAAGCGCAAGAGACGCGACGACAGGAAATGGAAACCGTAGCGAACGTTGCAATCGGTTATAACATGCGAGCCAAAAGCAATATTCAATTACACAACGACGCACGCGGACGCGCGCGTTCACGAATTAACGTACACGTTTTGCGGACGTGGAATATAAAAGGTTTGTGAAAAAAAAGAGAGAGAGGAAACAGGCGAGCTTGAGTCGCGGAAAAATGTTCAAACGCATCGGTGGAAATTAACATTTTCGTTCCGTGGGAAAGTTTATCAGCACCAAGCGTTGCTTCCGATATATCGGAGGGTACTAATTAAAAAAGCATCCATCCCTTTGGGAGTTCCGTAATGACGTCCGTAATCAAGAGATGTATCAACCGTCGCATTAATCAAACGACATTTCTTTTTATTATCGAAGCAGATATTTTCGGGTTACTTTTTTCCCCCGTGGTTTGTTAATTAGCGTGCAAGAAAATGAGAAACCGGAGAAAAAGCACTGTTGCGTGGATGCAGGCTGATGCGGGATTAGAGAAAACCGGCGTTAAGTGAAGTTAAGAAATTAGGACTCACCTCCTGTAAAATTCCATTGCATGCCATTTCGTTCATTTTTCGTGCGAGCACCAAGAATATTGCAAATAATACAAGAAAAGATTAGTCGTATTGCAATTAAACCACCATCACCAACCACCCAACCGCTATCCACCGTATTATTATTTTTATTATTATTATTATTACTATTATTATGATTATTATTACCAGTTTTATTATTACTATTATTATTATTATTATTACTATTATTATTATTACTAGTATTATTATTATTATTATCATGATTATGATTATGATTATTATTATGATTATTATTATTATTATTATTATTCGCGATCGTAATCACGGGATATCGTTATAGTTGCAGACGAATATTAATTTACCATGTGTTGTTGTTAAAGTTACTTCATTAGACTAATAGACACCGGTAACATTATGCCACGATTGTTATCGTTCGCGTGGAACGATTTTACCATAATTTGATGCGAATATTCCGATCCGATCTGAGAACGCGAACTATTGTTTGCGACACTTTGTAATTAACTGGTCTTCGCCAGATCTCCTAATTAAATTTCGAAGGATTGCTCGCGAGCTTTGCCATGTATCCGAGACGGTTAATTCCTCGTATGTTCGCAGTCCTTTAAAATTTCATTTTAACGTTTTCGAGGATCCAAAGAAGTAAGAATTTAAAAGCGAGTAATATATCTCGCGCGCGTTTAACGAATTTCATAAAAGGAATATTTTGTGGTAGATAACAATGCAATACCGCTAAACGCTTGGAACGCGTGCATTTAGCTCTATTCTAAAAATCGTACAAAAGTTGAGCACCAGCTTCGGCGAAACGTTCATAGAAAATAATAGACTTATCACAAAAGAGTCGCGCAATTTGCATCCCATAAACGAAGTTTTAACAACTGGTTCGCGCAAACGCGGTATCAACCCCGGGTGAATAAATAATGCAACAATACCCGCCCCGGCGAACGACCAACAAAAATCCCTCATTAACGGGAATTGTAATTAGACTAATTAAATTTGTCCTACACTAACTAGCGCGCGTAATTACTAAACTGCAGATCCTTGAGCAAATGCGAACTTTTATTCGTTCGAAGTGACTAGAATGAAACAGAAATTCGTTTGCTCTTTGAATCCAAAATAAAACGAGACTAATGAAATTCTCTTAAACTTCCAACAACGGTTAATCGTATCGCACGCCATAAAATGTGTAGTCCAGTAATTTATCGAGTTGTTGAGCGTTCTCCGAGAGAAGAAATCCTTTTCGAAGATAATCAGCTCGCACGAGTAGACTTCGTTACTCGAGAAAATGCCGGAGTCAAATCTCTCCTCTGTTCTCCGACGGACTAAATCGAACAAGGCTGTCAATATTTATAATCAACATTTACAGTGCAAATGCCAGGCCCATCGAGCTTCATTAAATTCCCAATAAACCAAAAAAAAAAGAGAAGAACCGAGGGGAAACCGGGAGTAACAACTAAAGAACGTGCCGGAGAGCCTGGCTGGCATTATTCGCTCGCTCTCTTTCGCCTGCGAAGCCGTCGGTGGTTCCGTAATTTTTCTCGATTCACGCCGTCCCCCTTTCAACCCCCGCGTTTCATCCCTCTTCAATCTACCCCTCTTTCTCACTTTCTCGCTTCCTCGCAGAAGTCTCGTCGGACTCTTTGGCCAGCACTAATTATTACCGGACTCCGCCCTGAATATAGAAGTTCAAAGAATGAACAGCCAGAAGGAAAAGAAGACGAAACGAGAGAGAGAGAGAGAGAGAGAGAGAGAGAGAGAGAAGATCCGATGAAAATGCGGTGGGATAAGCCGGTGTCGCGTTAGATGCAGAGATTAATTCGTGGCCTCGGTAATCGATCAATTACTTGACCTACAATAGATAGAAAAAGTGGTGCCAAAAGTTTTTAATAAAGAACGTCCAAGAGTAGAAAGTTTGAAAGTAAGAGGCGGAATGAGCAGTTGCAGTGAAACGTTGTCGGCCATTCTAATTGCTTGCATAAATCAGAATCATAAGTCATAGATTTCTTGAGACGAGTTTCGTTAAATGATGCCGAATATCGACTCCAAACGTTCCCAGAACATCAAAGCCATTTAACACCAAATGTAACTATTTGAAGCTGCTTTATAAAAATAAGAAACATTTATTTATCCAGAGTTTCAACGACTTTTATCGTAATATACGTGCAATGAAACGAATTTGTCGAATAAATCCCCCTAAATGTATCTTTACAACTTTCGTAAACCTAGTGATAATTAATGAAACCGAAAATGGAAAGTTAAAGCATACCGCAGGAAATATCAGTTTACCTCTTTCGTATTAGTAAAATCCTAGTGAGATCAGTTTTGTTGAAGGTTGTCCCTGCGAGGGACATAATATTTTAAATTTTGTTATTATATTGTTTCATGATGGGCTGCGTCGCATCTGGCGAGAAAGTGCAACGACTGTCTACCTGGACAAGATGTCCTTAAACAATAGACAAGCGTAGACCCGCATTTCTCTGCGCATATGGTCTATTGGCACTGCGTTAATTAATTAATTAATTAATTGCACATTTTTGTGGCTCCTATGGCCACAAATTTCGTTTTTTTTTAGGTAGTTGCCTGCGGACGAGCGAGGCATGTGGTTGTGCCTACCGTTGCTTCCGAACCATCACCCGTAATATTAGTTGACTTTATGTTTGTTTCTTTTTTTTCAATAATTAGCTTTCTCATTAAAATCAATTCTGTTACGATTACTTACGTTTCCTGTAAATATTCAACAAGTTTGTTCGAATGTATGGCAATAAAAATGAGATTTGAAAACAGGTGAAAAATACGTGCGCTTTATATAAATTGCTATTAATTTCTTTATCTAAAAAAAGTCAGAAACAATGTCGGCTGATAGGATGTCTTAATTGTTCGACAATAAATAACGAAGAGAAGTTATCGAGAACCGTGTCAGCGGGGCCATTGGCTCGAGCCGATTTAAAGCGCGGCAAACGGAGATAAAAGCGGCATGTAATTACGGGAGTAATTAGCGACGGGTCGAGGTCTGGGTCCGTTCGCGCGGAATCTTTGAGCTTCGGCGCGGACGCGATGAAAAATTTCCTGCGGTTTTCCCGGCGGACGATGGGGAACGCGTGTCCAAGAAACGACCAGCCGCTTCGGCCGATATCGCGACCGCCGAGGAATTAATGGCCGCGCGATATGACGAGCCGCGCCGTCCGCCGGAAAACGCGTTTCGATCTCGACTTCGATATTTTTTTCTCGCACGCGGATACGGGCGCCATCGGGTCAGCGCTCCGATTTCCACGGCAAATTTCAACCGGCGAATGTTCAACATCTTTTCCACGGATCTCGTCGCGTTTCAACTGTCACTGCGTTTTGCCAATATTTATACAAGCTTGGCGTGAAACGGAGATGCGGAAAATACGACGAGTTTGCATACGCGCGGTGTAGTTCATTAACTGGTTGACTGGCCGCGTCAGTCATACGTGCCCGACAGAATTATTTTATTAAACGTGAAAATTAACGTCGATTATATCAAGTGTTGCACGTCGCAAGTGCATAAATTTCTGTAACCTAATTACGAGCGACCAGGTATCGGGACGACAGGAATTTTTCCTTCGAGCGGACTCCGTTCGCGAACGCGCCGTAGTTTTCCCGATGTTAATTATTCAGGCAGTCGCGGGATGACAAATCATCGGTGTGATGAATCTGTGACGGTGACGCTAATGAGAATCAATGCGACACCTAACCATGTATGGGACACGCAGATGCAACGGCAG